TTTGTTTGATTTTTTGTTTGCGTTTTTTTTAAATCTATTAATTTAAATATTTGGTTTAATGTAATTTTTATTTTAATTAATGAATTGCTTTTTATTTTTAATTAAATTTTATGTTTATTATTAACTTAAAAATTATAAATCATAAAAAAGAATTAATTTTATTTAAAAAAAAAAACAAACAAACAAAATAGTGAGGGAAGCTTCCCAATTATTCATTGGGTTTGGATGAGGGAAAGAAAAGTGAGGAAATGGTGTTGTGGCCCAAAAAGTGAGTGAAGTTTCCCATTCACACCTTCTAGTCTAAGAATGGTTATAAATCGAACATTATATGAACCAATTTATTATTATTTTTTATTTTTTTTAATATTATGAATAACATAAATCTTCATAAAAGTCTCAATATTTTAATACAGATTATGAGAAAATCCCAAATTTTATTTTGATAACAAAAAATCTCAATTACCGAATAAAAAATTCAAATCATCCATTTTATATATGTAAACCATTTTTTATCCGGTTACTTCCAAAAAAATCTTTTTATTTGATCCAGTTTATAAAAAAGTCCCAAAAAAAATTACTTCAACTTTTTATTTTGAATATCATTTTCACTAAAAATCTAGATATTTCTTGGTTGAAATTATGAATAGAAATAAACGTTATTTAGTTCTCTAAAACTAATGATCAAAATCGTATATATACAAATTATTTGCCATAAAACAATGACACTTGTATTACTTTGAACTCATCATTGTCTATATAATTCATTTCTCACATAAATTTATGTTAAAATTATTATAAGATATTCAAATTATATGATGAATACCTTATTACAATCTACCTAAAAGTAGGTTAAAGAAAAACCAACTATTATACTCATATAAAAAATGATTGACTTAATGACAAACCAATCAATATAATAGTATGTTAGATGAGGCTGAACAGATTCTAAAGAAGAATGGGTTTTATCCTTAAATCTTAAGCACATCTTCACTTTATACATTCATGTATCAAACTAAAAGTGATCATAGAAGTGAATCAATAGAAGAATAAACACTGTATTTCTTATGATCTTGGTGTTTTGGAGCTCCAAAATTTAAATTTATTGGCATGTGAAATAATTGATCAATGGTGGAATTGTTTCTATATGCTTAATATTTAAGGGTAAAACTCATATTCTTCTTTAGAATCCATACAGCCTCGCCTAATCAACTATTGTATTAATTGGTTTGCTATCAGTCAATGGTTTCTTATATAAACATAATAGATGGTTTTCCTTTAACCTACTTTTAGTTAGATTGTAATAAAGGTGTTCAAAACATAATTTGAATATCTTATAATACTTGTAACATAAGTTCGTGTGGGAAATGGATAATATGGACGATGATAAGTTGAAAATGATGCTAACATCATTGTTTTGTGGCAAATAACCAGTTATAGAGGACTTTGATCATTATTTTTATGGAGCTTAATGACATTTATTTTATCTCATAATTTCAACCAAGAAATTTCCAAAGTTTTAGTGAAAGGGTAAAAGAGTCGAAGTAAAAAAATGAGGTTTTTCATAAACTAGGTCAAATAATGGGACTTTTTTGGAAGTAACAAAGTAAAAATAGTTTACGGGTAAAAAAAGTTGATTTGAATTTTTTTTATTCGTTAATCGGTCTTTTTTGTTAACAAAACAAAATTTGAGATTTTTTTCATAAATTGAATTAAAATATTGAGATTTTTTTAAAGATTTCCCTTATGAATAATCTTATAAGTTAGGAATGGACATGATTAAGAGTTCAAGAATTAAAATGAAACTATTAAACTTTTTATTCATGATTGATACTTCAGGAAAAACATTGGAACCAAATTGGATTGCACCGAATACCGATTAGGATGAAAGTAGGAACAAGGCATTGTGCGATATATCTGGACTCAGTTTGAGTTTGGTTCGGTAGCATTTCGAGTTTTTTTATTTTCTCCATAACTTTCATCCCTACTACATACATCCTCTCAATATCGACATCACACAAGCATTTGTCGCATCCAATATTGTGACAATAAATAACTGTGTACACTCTTTCATAATCCTCCATTTTAGGTAGACCCTTGTACCAAATGATGTAGAAAATACATGATATAAATAACTAGAAACGAAAGAATATGACACTCAAGAACAATCGTTATTCTTAGGAAGAATTAGGGTATGTTTGCCATAAATAGTTGGTAGGCCGAAGGTGCAACTTTTATTTGTATGGAAATGTTTAGCAAAAGCAATTAATGTTTACAATTACATAAAAGCTAATAGTTAAAAGGTTTTTGCAAAAATATTTGATAGTTGTAAGTTGTAAATTTTATTTGTGTAGAAGAGTTTGACAAAAATAGTTAACTTATAAAATTACATAAAAAGAAAAAATTCAAATAATATATTTAAAGTATCTTTTGAATTAGAAGTTTTTTGTTATAAAATAAAATTCTTAATTATAGACTACCATCCAGAACTTCTCCTTTTATTCGATCTTTTTTAAAATCTCCGAAATATTTGTTGTTAAATATACCCTTAATCTCTAATTCTTATAAACTATAAAGTGGTAAACTCTTAAACAAATCCTAACGACTTCAATTTCACCTCAAAACTAACCCAAAACTCTAATACCTGTAAAAATAATAATAATAATAATAATAATAATAATAATAATAATAATAATAATAATAAGCCTTACATTAAGTTATTTATAACGATCTGTCATTTGAGCTATTTTCATGTTACCAAGGTTTCATGGGTTTTCTGTCTGATTTGCATCATATATCTCCTTCAAGCGTGACCATATTTATGTTTCCTTTGATTTTTTCCACGACACTCATCTTCATTAACGATACAATAATATGATGACATTAAAGCAATATCTTTATCAACATCCCATTTTTCGCCTCTTGGGTTTTTTCTTGTGAGGTTTGAATATTTTCAGTTGTAGAGACGAATAACTCAACAATTCATTGGTTTGCTAGTTTATATCATGTCTACTCTAGTTTACCATATGTTTATGAGTTTTTTAGATTTAGTTATAGGCTAAATACCCTAACTTTCATTTAGCATAGATGAAACCTAATACTATGTGTTGATTTCAAGTTTTATGGATTAAATTATGTTGGTTTTTAATTGTGTTTGGTAGATCAATATTCTAACATGTTAAAGTTCTAACTTTTATCACTTATTTGCAAGTTTTATGTAGTTAAATGATATGATTGCATGAACTTGATATCTAATTATTTATGATCATTGAATTGCTAGATCTAGAGATAAGCAAATCCTAGAGTTATGTGATAATAGTTACTAATTTTAACGTTGTTAGAAAGCATTGATAATTATATTATGTACTTGAATTGTTTGTTTTGATTATAGATAAGTAATCACTAGATCTTGTCATTCATAGTTGAAATAACATTGAAATCAATTTAGTGTTCAACTTGTTTCATGTTCATTGTAATAGTCGTTCATGAATTGATTAAACACTAGGAAATCAGAACAAATATCAGTACTAACTTTATAATTTGGTAACCACATAGATAATCCATTGTATTAGAAATCAACCATAAAAAAAAAAAAAAAAAAAAAAAAAAAAAAAAAAAAAAAAAGATGATTCGAAGCTAAACGAAAGTACTCTTTAATCTTGAATTAAAATCATTTTCTGTTTTGTTAGCTTAGTTTAAGTAATTTTAGTTAACAGTTAATTGATATTTAAGTTTTTCTGAACTTGCAAAATCTGATAAAACCCCTCAATTCATAGTTATTTTCTTTAGTTAAATTAGTAGCAGTTATTTTCTTATGAAAATTTTCGTTCTCTGAGTTCGACACCCTGCTTACTTTACTTTACTATTACGCGCCTAGATATATTGCTTATTCGTGTTTTAGCTAGTTAAATTCATTAGGTTTTATAAATATCAAAACTAGTGGTATAAAATAAACACATCAATACCTAGTCAGACTAACCACATTGCGGGTGTGGAATGTAATAGTTTAACCAAAAGTTATTGTGATATAACTAAGTAATGATATTGAAAGAGGAAATGTAATTTCTGCTAGTTTGTATAGAAAAGATGGTCAGGAGTATGGCCAGTAAGAGTAAATTAGGCAGTTTTCCTAAGTGATAAATAAAGTTTGAAAATGATAGAGCTGTAATATATCGGGGATATAGAACCTAGTAAAGAATCGGTCAGGAAGAATGTTACTTCTTGACGAAAGACCGCATGAATAAGGGTCTACCTTTTGTTGGGTGACTCAGATGGAATAGTTGTTTCCACCAAGTGTTAACATATTGGTCATAGGGACCGAGAAGGAAGATTACTTCCTAGACATCCTCTATAAGAGGGTAATAATTGCAATCTCATACTATGGTTTGATAGAACACACTTTAGTCGTGATATGAGTTAAAATGGACAAAACTTCAATGGGCAAATGAAGTATAGAGTTGACCGAAATGTTAGAGTTCACTTAAGTTTCCATAATTATTAAGATCTTTTAGAGGACGGTCTCAATAAACGGAGATTGGAGAAGTGAACCATAGAAATGATTAAAGTGAATTGTGGAGTAATGAACTACATAAGGAAATAAAACATTAACTACCTAGTATGAGTGAGTAAGTTGATGATCGATAGAGTTAGTACCAACAGACACTACCAGAGTAAGAGATTATTTGGCAAGATCTAAATTTTCAGCATCTGAAGTTTTAAGAGGTTTGAATTTTTTAAAAAGTTTCAATTTTTTAGATATGAACTTTAACATGTTGTTTGGTTGGAACCTCTAAATTATTGTACTGAATGATAAAAATGGCAATTTTACCCTTATGAATCATTTCTTTCGATTACAACATTATACTTATAATAATTGGAAGTATAATGTTATTTCTTGTTATAATAGGCACAACCCAGCCAACAAAAATCTAATCCGATCTGAAAACACATGTCAATCAAGAAACTGTATGTGAGCCAACATCCAATAATCCAAAGCATCAAAACTTCATTTTCTTTAATTTCACATATATCTTCAATTTTTATTTTACTGCATACATATACACCAAACAACACTATAAATCCTTATAAATCAGGCACACAAATGCCAATCCACATAAGAACAAAACAACAATATAAATAACTATAAATCACTATAAATACACTGTAATTAGTGTACATAAGAACAAAAAACATATAATTAAAGTAATGTTGCTCAAGGAAACTCGCATACGACTTCAATTTATCAAATTTTTAACTTTCTAGGATACATCAGATTCAATTTTGTCTAACCATAGTACCCAAATGACCAACAAAACATACCTTCATTTTGGGTGGTTTGAAATTTCATCAAGTGTTCGAGTCTCCTCTTTCTTTCTTCTTTGTTACCACACATCAATACAGGGGGAAGGAGGTTAAGAAGCCCTGTGCACTTGATTCTAATCTATTCTCCTTCTCCCTTATTTCTTCTTCCAATCTCTACCTTGATGCCCTTCGACATCCTGTATTTTAATGCATTTTTAATGAAAGTACCAATCCTTAATTAGAAGTTTAATAGTTTCCTTAAAACTCTTAAACTTCTAACTAGATTTGTTACTAATTTATAGGATTATTCAAAAAACTGAACCCCATAAAACCTAAAAGTCTTCAAAAAAAATTGACCCAATATTGAGAAATATTGAGAATAGATTTGATGATTTGTTTAAACAAAGAAAGGTTCAACAATGTTGACTTTCATATAAGGAAACGTTTGACAAGGTTGACATTCATTCACCATCTCAAATAGCATGTCATGAAGATACTATGGGAATGAAATCATGTACCTTCATTGTTGATCACTCATAGAATACATAGACTTCAACATCGTCTCTAGTCTATCTTTAGACAACTGAAAGTTGACATCTGTTTCTCCTGAATTTAGCTCTGTGTTGCTCTGAAGCTGAAAGTTAAAACAGATTTAGGGGAAACCCTAGTTCACATATCCTGTAAAAACGAAATTATTATCAACCAAGAGTACCTGATCTTTCGCTATATCTTCTCTCCACTCCTTATGGAACTTTTGTAGCAGAAGTGTCAATAATCTCTGTATCTCAGGCAAGACTTCTTCAGGGAATAATTTCTGTATTTCATCCTTATTGTTGTTCTCATAGACACATCTACGAATCAACATGCGTAGGCATACCAAAAGCTACAAAATTACATCTTTAAAGCAATTAGGAAAAACAAAAACATCGGAAAAATTATAGCAAAAACTATTAAAAGGTAATTACAGGATCGAGGTCGGCATCATTTTGAAGTTGAAGCATATCACGGATGACATCGCGATCGGTTGAATCAAGTCCAATTTTGCGAGTTCTCCATAGGGTTTGGAGTATGAACTCCACGGATTCCTTCGAATTCGCTCTCACCAACAACGGTAGATTTCCCCATAATGAATGCTCCATTGTCACAATCGTGTAATTGCATCAACTCCACACTCCACAGTCGCAGATTTTGTCGTTGACTAAACTCGACTCCGAATGTGCCCTAGAAACGGCGTGCGTTGAAGTTTGAAGGTCCTTTTGGAGTTTTTCGTTTCTTTCGGGTACAAAATGATAATAACAGTTAATTTATTTAACCCATTAAACAAATGTGACTTCACAATTTAAGCACATCGGCTACTGTTTTTGTCATTTAAACCCCTTTATCTTTGGTCAAATTATATTTCATCTCCGTTGGTTACACATGAGAGGACTTGAGTAGACATGTGGGAGGAGATTGGATATGAGTAGGTCACATTCAGTAGAATTTAATAGAATGTTATATCATTTTTCTATCATTTTTTCCTATGAATTGTATAAAATTTAATAAAATATTACAAAAGATAATTTATAGTATATATTTAAGAATTAAAAACTTAATTTTTTGATTTTTTTCGATGATCATTGAACTTCAAATCGATTGAATGATAAGATGACATCTCTTAATATAATTTAATCTATTGAATAACAACTGAACTTATCAACTTATTCAACTTTCCCAATGAAATTACCATTATAAATGCTATTATATTTAATATATACAGTCCAGTTTCATGACTTTCTCCCTATAAAGGTTTCCGACATGATATTTCTATTGCTACTTGTTCTAGTTGCTTCTATTTATTTATCATATTTAAAATAACACAAATGAGTCGACCATTTCACAACACAAAATCACTTGAAAACTTTAGCATTTATGTTTTTCATTCTAATAGATGTTAACTTTGAGTCCATTTTCGTTAATTTAATGGTTGTGAGTGAATTATTTAGATTTTAGGGAACATAGATAATTTCAAAAAATTATAGTAGCTAAAGGGCTAATGCCACCAAGACCCTTAAAACTCGCCCATTATTGAAAAACTTTTTTCATTAAAGCTAGTTAAGATTTGCTCACTTGCCATAAAAATTAAAAGCCCTCTTAGAATGTAACACATTACTTAAACTTCAAAGCCTCATACAAGTAACTCTCATGGAGCCAAAGTGGAAGTTCCACAACCATCATGTACACATGCCAAAACATCTTTGTAGTCCCTTGCTATTGTAAAACTATCATAAACCAATCCATCACTACTCTTCTTGTACTCAAATAAAAGCGACGAATGATTAAAAGCAGTAAGTTTCACAAATCCCCAATCATGATCTTTATACAAACTCCATTCCGTATCAACATAAGCAAAAGTCGACAACTCACTCCCTCCTCCACCCACAACAACATGAATTGTCCCATCCACAGTTCCCGAATAATTATACTTTTCCGTGTTCACACATTGATCCTACATTTAAAAAAATAATAATAATAAGTAACCAATTAAGCATTTCAAAATAACCATTTTGGAAATTGGTTATACATTACCTGGTATACAGGACAAGTTCTTTCATAACTATGGATATGTCCATAAAATGCAATGTCCACTTTGTATTTCTGCCATAGCTTTTGCAAATGTTCCCTTCCCATTGGCTCTCCTAAAGAACCCTCGATAGCATACTGGCTACTAGAAGAATAGCCAAGAACACGGTTAGCAGCAAAGATAAGCCATGGTTGTTTTTGTCTGTCGACTGATGCAAAACATTTCTCTAGCCATGCATACTGTTCCGAACCCTCCCTCCAATCATGCTCTGAATCCGCTATACAAAAATGAAACATCCCATAATCCGTTGCATACCTACAAACATTTGTCAATAAGAACTAACTGAACCGTTTAGCACTGAATGATCCCAACCTCTTAATGGTTCAGAAGAAATAAATATTTTTACCAGAATTTAGCTCTGTTATCTGCGGGAACATAGAACATGGTCTCAGCAGGCACCCCACACTCCCCGCCTGAATCAGAACTTAAATAGAAGGATCCGGAATTCGGAAAATCCCGTTCGTTGTTTCCACTACAAGATTGAAAGTAAGTTGTGACTGATTCGGTTTATTTAGAACTACAAATTATGTAAATACTTAAAAGTTGGAATTAACCTTGCAACCATGTAAGGTTTTTTTGAAGCAATAGGTTCAATTTGTGCTGTGAATTGGTCCCATTGTGAGATGTATCCTTTTGCAAATGCTAGATTACCAATATGGAATACTATATCATAGTCATCTACTTCATTTGTTAGTTGGTTTGCAGTTATCAGTGATCCTGGTTGATAATTGTCATATTCATTTGACCCATCACGTTCTGCCTGAAAACATGGTAGTAGAGATTTTTTAAATAAAAAACTAAACATGAAGTGTTATAAACTTAATCACTACCTTTCCCATGTCTCCAAATATAATAACACGTTGCAATGAGTCTTGTCCTGGATACGGTGATGAATTAAAAGAATACAATTTACTCCAAACAAACGACCCGTTTGTCAACTTATGACCCATTCTGTAAGTATACCTGAAAAAACCATTCACAAAATAAAATGAAAAATGAGAAAACTACAATTCATGTTTTATTCTTTTAAATTAATACATACATGGTGTTAGGCCACAAGTCCTTTAAGAAACTAGTGTGGATAAAACCAGGATCACGCCATCCAACTGTTCTTGCAGGTTCCCCTATATAGAATTAAAGAACATTACCAAGTGAGGTTGGGTGGGGTGGGGTGGGGTAGGGTAGGGTGGGTTGGGGGGGGGGGGGGGGGGGGGAGCGAAGACATATCAATATATCATACCACACATGCTACTACGAGAAAAGGTCAAAGTTCCAGCTGGAGAAAGCTTTTTGGTTTGACTTTGATCCTCCCAACCCCATTCAACAAATGGAGTGGCTTCATCGATGTTGTAGCCACTTGTCCATGTCACTGACATCTGAATAAACACCAAAAGTAACACGTGATGTAAAAATTTAGGTAGTGTTTGGTTGATGGAATAAAATCATAAATAATCGAATGATTAATGGAAATTTACTATTTACCTCATCCCAAGTTTTCCCTTGAGCAAGACGTGGATAAAGTGGAGCCTTAGGGTTTGCAAACGATATAGGGGATGAAGCGCTTATCAACTTTGGCTGTTGAAATTCCCGAAAGTAATTAATTGCTCATTGAAAAATCGGAAAACATTATTATTAAAAAATAAAATAAGAGTGAGTTTGCAAATACGTTCTCTAATCCTCCAGAAAAAAGTGCGAAGGAGAAATCTGCACGTTGATTGATGATTTGGAATGTTAGCGACGCTTTCCCTGTTGTAGTGTAATCATGATTCGAATGGTTCGCGAACATGTACTGTTTATAACAACATCTTACTTTAATTGGTTAAAAGAAATATAAAAAATAAAAAATATATATAAAGTTTTTTTTATCTTCAAGAGTTCCTTTTTATAAAACATCTTACTTTGATTGGGGCTGTGCATATGTATGGACCATTATCTTGCAATTCATTGGATGATTCAGCGTAACAATCTGATGAACTGCAATATTTTTTCAATTGTTGAGAAAAAACATTTTGTATGAGAAATAAAAGGTGAAATATGTAAGGGTTGAAAGTTGAAAGTTGAAATCCACTAACTAACAATTTGATGCGTCCACATTTGATCCCTCTGGATTTTTTTTTTTTTTGAACATTTAAGGTCCCTAGATTTTTTAAATTTGTACTGAATACTTAGAGTTACCAAATGTGGACATAGCAAATAGTTGGACAACAGATTTTAACCTAAACCCTAAATATATAATTTTGTGAAGGGGCAAAAAAGTAAAAAGACTACTTGAAATTTGCTGGTGAGAAAACTCCAACCCAATCACCCTCACTTGGTTCTGAGGTCTTGACCTCCACGTTGACCCATTCAGTATCCTCACCCTATAAAATCAAGTCACTCACTGGTTGTTATGATTACAAGTTATAAAGTGACTTTTAAAAAATATAAAATAAACCATTTTTCACCTGACACCCCATAAGTAAAGGGTTAGCAGTAATACAAGCTGATTCTTGGAGAGCATTAACAGCTTTGTGAATTGCAATCTTGGCAAGTGGTTGTTCGCTGGCGGGAGCATGGTGGAGGTGGTGGTGGTGGTTGGGAGGAGTTCCGGTGAGGTGACTGTTGGATAAAGCATTACAAAGCTTTGAAACAAAGAAAGTTGATAGTAGCAAGAAGAGAGTTAAGAGATTATTCTTTGTTATCATTTTATCAAACACTTGGTGTGCATGAACTCAATAAGAAAAATCTTGGTTATATTTCTATATTTATAGCTACTAATCACAAATATCATAACAGACTTTAAAAAATGATTTAAACAAAATAATATGCAACACTTTTTTAACGTTAAATACAAGTTGTTTAACATTAAAAAAGGACACACAAACTGTGTGAGTGTGAAACAAGTATTCGTGACCTTGGGGATTCATCTCCCAGGAAATTTAGGAGCAAATTCTTCATGCTTTCTGCAGTGACTTATGAAGAGTTAGTTACATACTAAATATAATTATATGAAACATAAAAAATTAAACGATAACAGGATGCAAATTTATTTATTGCAAAATCTGAACTTTTGTGATTACAAGTTACAATTTATAACTCGCAAGTAAACAGAAATAGAATAATTAAAGATGGGATTAAAGATTATAGAAAAGATTTAAAAAAAAATAAAAAAAATAAAAAAAATAAAAACTACTTTTTCTGAAATTATCAAATCTTGTTCACCAATAATCACCACAAGAACATTTTCCATTTTCAAACCGATGAAATCTGCTAGCATCTCTCACAACAATCACTCGTCCAGTCAGCTTAGCCATCAACTTAACTGCCAGGTGGCAGTCATCACAAATCCGGTGACTCTGCACCAAATGCAAAGGTGTTGAATCTGAAGTATTCATCAGCCCAAAAGAAACTGCAAGTTTCTCACTATGAAACATTAACATCTGTTCTTCCCTTTCATCAACATCAGGAAGCAAAGTGTTTTTCTTTGGAACATAACCATGTTTTTCAATTCCCAACATTAATTTCTTCAAATTTTTAACAATTTCAACATGGGATTTTGATTTTTTATCCCCTGAAACAAACATATGCTGCTGTTTCTTCACATCTATCCAAGTGCAAACAGGCAACATCCTCAAACCTTTCTTTTTTAAAGTATGAAAAACAGAAGCAGCTTCTTTTTGTTTTCCACAACTGTTGTAAATATTTAAAAGAACAACATAATTACTAAGCTTTTCTGGCTCCATACCATATATTTTTTCAGCTGCAAGCTTTCCAAGTTCTAGATTCTTGTGGACCCTACAAGCTGTAAGCAAAGAAGCCCACATATTGACTGTAGGATTAAATGGAGCATTTTGGATCAAAGAAAAAGCTTCATCTAATAACCCTTCACGACCTAATAACTCAATCATACACGCATAATGCATAGCTCTAGGTTTTACCTTGAAATCTGTTCCCATTGAGTCAAATATGTCCCACCCTTGATCTGATAAACCTGAATAGCTACAAGCAGAAAGAACAGCAAGAAAAGTAACATGATTTGGGATCATGTTTTCAGTAATCATTCGTTTGAATAACTTTAAAGCTTCAATTCCTCTCCCGTGATTACCATATCCAGCAATTAACGCGTTCCATGATATAACATTCTTGTGAGGCATTTTATCAAACACGTTGCGTGCATCATCGATTCTTCCCCATTTACTGTAGAAGTCAACAAGTGCAGTGTTGGCAACTATGTCTAGACCAAAACCATTGCGGATGAGGCCTGCGTGTGCTTGTTTGGCATGTTCTAGTGAAGCTAATCGTGTACACACTCTTACTATCATTGAGAAAGTGAAGTGGTCCATTTTAACACCAGAATCTTGCATCTCGTAGTAGAGATCTAAAGCTTCTTCACTGTATCCATGAAGGGCGTACCCTGCAATGATTGTATTCCAACCCACTGTTGTTTTCTCAGGCATTTCATCAAACACGCATTGGGCGTCCTCGATGCTTCCACACTTGCTGTACATGTCGATTAGTGCACATGATACGAAGATATCTTGACTTACACCCAGTTTTATAGCACAAGCGTGTAATTGTTGTCCTGGAAAAATCATTTCCAGTCCTGCAGATGCACGCATCATGGTGGCAAAAGTACGTGAACTGGCGTCAGATTGTTCCTCCCACATTGTTAGAAACAACTGAAACGCTTCCAGATAATCTCGAGAGTCCACAAGCCCTGCAATTATTGTGTTCCAAGAAACTAAATTTCTCTCTGGCATTTCGTCAAACAACATGCGGGCATCAATCATCATCCCACATTTGACATGCATCAGTAGCATCCTGTTTTTCAAATACAAATCGGGCTCAAACCCACTGTTAATCATAAAATTAAACACTCTTTTAACCCCTCTAATTGACTTCAAACTGATACAAGCATCCACTAACGCATCATAAGTACTCTTGCCAACATGGACATCATACTCGCACTCAATTTCCAAAATCTCAAACATTTCAAGAGCATCTCTATATCGTTTACAGAGAACCAGCTTCTCGATCTGGCCACAGAGTCCTGAACTAGAACCTTTCATCTGTCGCGACTCTTGGACATGAGTTTCTTTCTTTAATATATCATGACCATTACTCAGTGGTTTTGGCTTGGGTTTTGGATGTAATCCCTGTTCTACAAAATGACAACTAATTGCATATACCTGGGCTCTTCGTGCTCTTTTGTTTAACAAGTGAGACGCAGAAAGCAAGTGTCTTTCTTGAAAGAATTTAACATCCGTTAACGACAAAGAGCTACTTTCGAAGACTGATGTGTTCTGATAACGCGACAAGGTAATGTCCATCGAGAATTATCTGAAAAGAAAAGGGAATCGGTAACTGACTGGTGTGGGGATTTAGATAGAAGAATTTCTTGGTGCAATTTCTGAAGAACGCGGATTATGGAGGAGATTTGGTGAGTCGACGAAGGTTTCTTGTGATCTAATATTAGGGGGCTGCATAGAAAAATCCGTCGTTGTTTGGTGAAGGTTAGTTTACTAACAAATTGACAAATCATAAAGGTTCCATATATCGAAGCAAAGGACTAACTTTGACAACATCTTAGCATCTAGAAGATATTATATTATAATGCATGATCCGTTGGATTTTATTGAGGAGCTTCACCGCCTCTGTTGCGAGAAAAACCGAATGTATCGAATGCAAAAGGTACAAACACATGTTGATTTTCTATACATTCATTCTCGTGTTTTACCACTTTGCACGCAGCGGCTTTCAAAACGGCATGTTCAGCTATGAAACCTCCGCTCCCCAAACCAACGATAGGAGAGACCCAAGTAAGGTCCACGCACACATGCTTCCCTCTTATCCATCCAGAGACCATGATGTCAACCGGTCTAAGTGATAACATTCCATCCTGCGGGTCCGCCAAAAAGTTCATCGGCGCTTCTTTCTTCACAGAAATACCAGCATGCCGACAAGCATCAAAGAGAACATCCCGAACCTGAAACATTCCAAAAATACAAGTCAAAAATTTCGTTTGAAAACATTACTAAAACCATAATATCTAAATATCATATAGTAAAATCATAAGTCGTGTCTCAAAATATCATAAAATATGTCTCATATCACAACTGATGTCAAATCATGTCAAAAATATCAGAGTCTAACTTCCAGGCTAAAACTGTGGTGGGTGTAATGTCATCATCCCGAGCTATTCCCCTTGCTAGCTGAAGTACCGGAAACCAAAATTGAAACTGTAAGTACGAAGCTTAGTGAGCTCCCCCATACTACCACATACCATACAATAACATATAAAGCACATACTCGGCCTTGCCCACTGCATAGGACCGAAGTCCGGAACTGACTAGGGCCTCGCCCTCTACATCGGACCGAAGTCCGGAACTGACTGCGGCATTGCCCCCTGCATCGGACCGAAGTCCGGAACTAACTAGGGCCTTTCCCACTGCATTGGGTCCGGAACTGACTAGGGCCTTGCCCTCTGCATCGGACCGAAGTCCGGAACTAACTGGGGCCTTGCCCCCTGCATCGGACCGAAGTCCGGAACTAACTATGGCCTTTCCCACTGCATTGGACTGAAGTCCGGAACTGACTAGGGCCTCGCCCTCTGCATCGGACCAAAGTCTGGAACTAACTGGGGCCTTGCCTCCTGCATCGGACCGAAGTCCGGAACTAACTAGGGTCTTTCCCACTGCATCAGACTGAAGTCCGGAACTGACTGAACATAGCAAAACATAATCATGGCATATAACAATAACACATATACTGCATACTGCATCGGACTGCATTCCAAAACACATAACACATAGACATGCTTGAATCACAAAGACATCAAGGATAATGAACCACTTCTCGGAACCACCTCGGCATCGAACCGCAGTCCGAAAACTACTGTTATCTAAGCGCGCCAACATTGTGGCCGTAGACCCGTCCCTACTGGAAGGAAACTCACCTCGTAAGGCTGACTACTAGAATGTTGAGCGGAAAATGTCTGACTGCTGCTCCGATAACTCCCCGGCTACAATTCTCATAAAGACACTTAGTCAAACATTGATACTAATCTTAGGGTAAAGTGACTATTTTACCCCTAGCCAAAGTCCTTATCCTGGTCAAAGTCAACTGCCAGTTGAGCTGACTCGCCGAGTTAGGCTGCCAACTCGTCGAGTCCCTATCCTTTCTTTTATTCCCCAACCCGACTCTACTCGTCGAGTTTAGCAAAGACTCGACGAGTTCTCCTTCCATAATAACATCAAGTCAACCTTCATCTGACTCGCCGAGTTGTATGAACAACTCGTCGAGTCCTCCTTCATCATATGAACACGTCCAGTCTACGACTAGCCGAGTTTGATCTTGTGGGTAAGAAGATTGCCTTGGACTTGTCGGGTGTGTTCTTTCGCTCGTCAAGTCCCATGATTTCCAGATTATGGCTATGTCTTAATACGTCGAAACACTCCTTGGGACCCTTCTAAACCTCTGCTAACACTCAACTGGGCTCCTTTGAACCACAACAGATTGGGGACTCAAGCCTGATAAATCCTTTGTCTAGCAACTCCTGCAGCTGCATAGACAACTCCTGCATCTCGGGAGGAGCCAACCGATACGGTGCCTTGGCTATCGGAGCCGTACCAGGAACCAGATCAATCCTGAACTCAACCTGTCTCTGAGGAGGTATTCCAGGCAAATCCTCTGGAAATACATCTGGGTACTCTCGTACTACCGATACATCGACAATTGTTGCCTTACCCTTCTCCCGGGCATCCATAACATAGGCGACGTACCCCGCACATCCCTGCTGGAAGTAGCGCCTCACTCTCGCTGCTGAACAAAGAATCGGTCCACGTTGTGGCCTCTCGCCCTGAATCACTAACTCTCCCCCACTAAGAGTGCGGACCCTTACTAAGTGCAGCTCACAATCAATCACTGCCCCATTGGGTTTCATCCAATCCATACCCACTATAACCTTATTCCTTCGCAGGGGAATAGGAACCAAATCCACTAAGAACTAGTAAGAAAGCCAGGAGGAGCATGGTAGACACTTGCGAGAAGTGTTAGAAGTTTTGAAGAAGGAGAAGCTGTATGCTAAGTTCTCCAAATGTGATTTTTGGATTCGTGAAGTCCAATTCTTGGGTCACGTGGTCAACCAGGAAGGGATAATGGTTGATCCAGCAAAGATTGAAGCTGTAATGAAGTGGGAACAACCGAAAAGTCCCACGGAGATTCGAAGCTTTTTAGGATTAGCCGGATATTACCGAAGGTTTATCCAAGGCTTTTCTTCGATTGCTACTCCATTGACAGCTTTGACCCACAAAGGAGCTGCTTATGCTTGGAGTGAGAAGCATAAAGAAGCATTCGATAAGCTAAAGAAGAAACTATGCGAGGCACCGATACTTTCTCTACCCGATGGAGTTGAAGACTTCACTGTTTATAGCGATGCATCTGGGGTTGGATTGGGTTGTGTTTTAACCCAAAGAGAAAAGGTGATAGCATATGCGTCTCGACAACTGAAAGAGCATGAAAAGAACTACCCGACTCATGATTTGGAGTTGGCAGCGGTAGTTTTCGCTCTGAAGATATGGAGGCATTACCTCTATGGCACTAAGTGCAAACTTTTCACTGATCATAAGAGTCTCCAATATCTCTTTAATCAGAAGGAATTGAATATGAGGCAACGACGCTGGCTGGAATTACTCAAGGACTACGACTGCGAGATACTTTACCACCCCGGTAAGGCTAATATTGTTGCTGATGCTCTCAGTCGGAAAGTCAATCTTGAAAGGAAAAGGCCAAGAGCGTTGAGAATTGAAGTTGTCTCGACCATTGTGGAAAGTATAAAGAAAGCTCAAGAGGAAGCTTCTGAGAAAAATGACCGAAAGGAGGAACGTTTGGGTAAAACGTTGGTGTTTGGTACAAACGGTCATGGACTGAAGGTATTCCAAGATCGTATTTGGGTACCTAAGTCAGGAGGAATTAGAGATCTTCTGATGGAAGAAGCTCACAAGACCATGTATTCGATTCATCCCGGTAGCACTAAAATGTATAGGGATCTGAAACCCTACTACTGGTGGCCGACGATGAAGCTTGATGTTGCAAAGTATGTGGCCGAGTGTGTGACTTGTGCGAGAGTCAAGACACAACATCAGAAACCGTACGGGAGTTTAGAACCTTTACCTGTGCCTATGGGTAACTGGGAAGACATTGCCATGGATTTTGTCACTAAACTGCCCAGAACAAAGAATGGTCACGACATGATTTGGGTGGTCGTTGATCGATTCACTAAGAGTGCGCATTTCATAGCAGCCAAGGAGAAATGGTCTATGGAAAAGCTTGCGAATTCTTACGTAAAGGAAATTGTGAGGCTTCACAGTGTTCCGTTAACAATTGTGTCGGATCGTGATAGTCGTTTCACCTCGCGATTTTGGAAAAGTCTACAAGAAGAATTGGGTACCAAGTTGTGTTTAAGTACAGCTTACCATCCGCAGACCGATGGTCAGAGCGAACGAACGATACAAACACTTGAAGATATGCTGAGAGCATGTACCTTGGAATTCCTAGGTAATTGGGATGAACATTTACCGTTGGTAGAATTTTCCTATAACAATAGTTTTCACTCGAGCATTAAGATGGCACCTTACCAAGCCTTGTATGGACAAAAGTGTCGTACGCCGTCTTGTTGGCTTGAGGCTGGGGAAAAGCAGTTTATGGGATCGGAGATGGTTCATCAGACTGTTGAAAAGTTGAAAATAATTAGGGAAAGAATGTTAGCTGCTCAAGATCGTCAAAAGAGTTATGCTGACAAAAAGCGAAGACCGACGACTTTTGAAGTTGGGGATTCGGTTTTGCTTAAAGTCTCGCCGTGGAAGGGACTTATAAGATTTGGTAAAAGGGGAAAGTTGAGTCCAAGGTTTATTGGACCGTTTAAAGTTCTTCAGAGGATTGGGAACCAAGCTTACAAGCTCGAACTACCAGAAGAACTGAATGGAATTCATAACACTTTCCATATGTGTTATTTGAGGAAGTTCACGGGAGAAGTTCCCGACATAATTCCACTTTCAGAGTTGAGGATCGATGAGAACAAAAGGTTGATTGAGGAACCGGAGGCAATTGTTGACCGAAAGACTAAGAAATTGCAACGTAAGATGGTGGAGTTAGTGCTTGTCCGATGGAAACACACGAATGGGCTGAATCTCACCTGGGAGACGGAGAGTGACATGAGGAGTCACTATCCGCATTTGTTTGTTGATGTGTGATTCCGGGGACGGAATCATTCTAAGGTGGAGAGAATTGTAACGCCTGTGTTTCTGGGCTTGCCATTTTTAGCAATGTAATA